TCTATTAGAAAAATTGTTGAAAGTAATGCTGTTGTATGTAAACAAAACAAAACAAAAAACATTGCAGTCAAGCCAGGCTTATAATTTAAATGTATATATAATTATTTTTATAGCAATGAAAAATGTCATGTGTTTATAATTTATTATGATGACAATTATCAAGTCATAACCATCAAATTTCTCTAAAATAACACCATTACATATAGAAAGAGATAATTACCAAAAAGTCATCAGCTTTCAAGATACAAATTCAAATAGGAGTGTCTAATAACATCTATTTATTTTCTATATGCTAAAGCAGGGATGGGCAACCTGCGGTGAAGTTAATCTTTAAAATTAGTTAAAAAAGTGAACAATAGACAGTATTGGGATCAGCATTACCAGCTCCATGTCACCAACTTGTTTATATATATATATAGGCTATAATTCTCTTATTCCATCTATTTTTATGTATTGGTTTCCCAGTTAACACAAGATACACAAGTATAAGTTAAAATAATTCAAGATATCTTCTCTGAATATACATACTACATTGCCGACTCTTATTTCCATGACTGTTGGCTATTTTCCTTCAGTAAAGGACATTTTTTTTATACTTCTAAAGAAGAGGAAAATTTGTTTAAAGATAAAATTTACGTATAGATTTTAAATTTCATCTTGAAGACTAACAAAATTGAACAACAAAAATTAATAGTGTATTCTATTGGAATATTGAATTCTTTTGTTAAAATAGAATTATAGATACTTTTGTCATATGTGCTGATAAAAGAAGTAAACCTTTTCTATTTTAGCATTTTGCTTTATTGTATATTTCAAAATTTTACATAAATTAGACATTTATGTAAAATTACTGTATTCCTTTTTGTAAAATTCAGAAATTTTGCATTATTCTTTCTTTATGTTCAATATAGGTGAACACAAAGGAAAATTTTGAACAAAAAGCAAAATTTCTGAATTTTATGATTTTTATAAGTACTAATATAAAAATTAAAATATTATCTAATTTACTCACTTTTCCCCTTGGATTTCTCGATACCTCTGAGGATAAAATTTCTCAATCACTTGCTGTAACTGATGTTGAGGATTAGTTGGAGGACCACCACTTCCTCTGATTTTATCACCATTATAGTCTCCAAATTCAATCTAAATAATAATAATAATAATCATAAAATTGCAACATATGATATTATTTTATAAATTAAATATTAAAAAATTTTATTATCAAAATTAATTTTTAAATCTTTTAATTAAATATAACCAAAGATGATAATTTATTTTGAATATATATGTATATTTTATAATAACTTTAAAATAAAATAAATATACTATTTTAGTTGATAATTTTGAAAAAAATTTAATGTAAAATTCAAATATGATAATATTGAAATTATTGGGTTAATATATATACAGTAGAAACTCAATTTAACATATTTTTTCATTGGGCTGTTCAAATTTTCATAAATCACAATCTTAATACAACACAACCACAACAAAAAATCTGAATAATTATAACAAAGACATAAACCAAATTCCAGTAAGAAACATGTAAGATTCATTAATAAAAATTCTCAACAGCTTTCAGCTATCTCATCATGTTAAGTATCAATGTTAAAAATAGAACATCAAACATCAATCTTTAAGTGATGGTGAAGTGCCATCTGATTGGTTGTTGTTGTAATGATGTAGAAAATTAAAACAAGACCTCAAATAAAGATCTCCAGGTCTGATGTAGGACATCTTTAAAATTAATTGCAACATTTTTCTTATAAGCTTTATATATTTTTAATACTTTGAAGTGTTTAATGAATGAAAGCCCTCTGGCTGGACCATGTGTAAGTGCATTTGAATCTGGTGTTCCATAGCTAGGAGGACTAAGGTGGTAGTATTATGCCTTTATTTATAGACGTGAGGTGTTCTTTCAATTGTTGGCCTACAGGGCTAGTAGTGGTGCAAATGTATTCCAATTGTCAGTTAGATGTGTTATCTGTGACTGGGATGATGTATTTGTACCAGTCCTTGGAGTTCCTCAATAATGAGTACATTGTGAGGCTGCATTTAAAAGCCACAAAATATGTTATTGGCCCTTGCTATTTCCATGTAAATTCATTTGAGATGTTGGTTGTACTTTATGGAATTGTATGGTTTGTTCTCCTTGCTTTGGTTTGTGATATGTAATGTAACCTGATAATGTACTATACAGAAGTTGGTGTGGCTTTATAAAAAGGGAATATTAAATTTATTATTCACTTAGGATGGTAGAATTACAAATATTCAATAAATTATCAAGATCATTTATCATCTTGTGATAGTGAAAGGACACCATATTTTATAGTTTTTTAGCATTGGAAACTTGCTAGACTCATAAATTGGTATAGCAAGCAGAGTAACATGATATCACTGCCATTTTCAAAGTTTGCCATAGATTCTGTGTTCAAATAAAGATGAAAACATACCAAGTTCTCAACAGGAAACAAACAAATATCCTTAATTACTTTCAAAAAACAGCTTAAGAGTAGTTCATTATCTTTGTATAAAACATCTACAGGTGCTAATTGTTGTACATTATGTTGTATGAAATAAAGGCTTTCATGGCAACATTTATACTGGTAATATACAGTGGAACCCCGGTTAACGAACTTAATCCGTTCCGCGACTCCATTCGTTAACTGAATTGTTCGTTAACCGAAGCAATCTTTTCCATAGAAATTAATGCAAATGCAATTAATCCGTTCTAGTCTCCGAAATTTTTATCATTTTATTTGTAATATACAATAATTTTCTTTGATGAAAATGTAGGAAAATGTAGTATCTATCATTACAGCAACAAACATGTAAACTTTGTTTAATAAAATAGCACTGTACATACCTCCGTTTGTTGTAGTTGCTGGCAGAAAAGTCGAGATATACAAACCTTAATGTTTACAAAGGGAATCCCTCCAAAAAAAAAAAAAAAATAATGGGTAGCACTTCATCGGAAGATTCTTCGAGTTGAAGTCTCTTTCGGTAAAAACCCCACCAGTGGCTAAGTGGTCTTCGTACCTTGAACACGGGGAGTTTGTTCGTGAGCTCGCACGTTGCTCAGACGGGCTGGCCACGTGAAGTTTTCCGGGATTTCTCCACGTCTGTAACTTCTAAATAGGGGCCAGTTTCCCTTAAAAACACCTCCCAGAAGGCATTCCCCCTAGTCAGATCGCCCAAGTGTTGCGTTGTCATAATTTAACAAAGAAACGAACTCTTTGTGTAAGGAACAAGAAATTGATCTAAAGTTGATTGTCTTACTCTTTTAATCAAAATTTTTCTCAAATGCGATAGCGCATTGTCGTTTATATTGCGTTGTCGTTTTCTAATGCCACTATGACTTTTTTCTTTCTTTGATGCCATATTGATTAAATATATAAATCACAAAACTGAAATAAAGAAGTATAGCACAAACACTCGGAAAAGCAATGCTTAACTCGCGCATGCCGAACACCAACTAAAATTTGACACAAAATACCATTACGTTCGTTATCCAAGACAAAATTTTTGCAAAATAAAAGTTCGTTAACCGATTTGGTCATTAACCAGGACGTTCGTTAGCCGGGGTTCCACTGTATATGTCTTGTTTTCTCTTATTCATTCTGAATGCATATACACATATATTTATACATTTGTAGTTTTGATTTTATTTGACATTTTCTTAGTTTTGATTCTATTAGAAAAATTGTTGAAAGTAATGCTGTTGTATGTAAACAAAACAAAACAAAAAACATTGCAGTCAAGCCAGGCTTATAATTTAAATGTATATATAATTATTTTTATAGCAATGAAAAATGTCATGTGTTTATAATTTATTATGATGACAATTATCAAGTCATAACCATCAAATTTCTCTAAAATAACACCATTACATATAGAAAGAGATAATTACCAAAAAGTCATCAGCTTTCAAGATACAAATTCAAATAGGAGTGTCTAATAACATCTATTTATTTTCTATATGCTAAAGCAGGGATGGGCAACCTGCGGCCTGCATTAATATATTTTGAGGCCCGCATCGCATAAAATGTGAATAAATATATTTCCCAGCTTAAGGAAGTATGCAGCAAAATGTCAAACATAATTTTCTACAACTTATGTATGTGAATAGTTTTTCCACAATGAATTTAGTGAAAATTAAAACAAGAAACCAGCTAACAGACACATTGAAACTAATTTAAAACTAGCAGTGACTAATATTTAACCAAATATTTCCAATATATTACATTTACATCAGTTCCAGAAGCTAAATTAAGTACACCCATGCTAATTTATAATTATATATGAATAAATAATTGTGATTTACCAACATTTTTTCTCTTTTCTCTTGTATGTGGCCTCCATCAGTTCAAAAGTCTTGAAATGTGGCCTTTATATAGAAAAAGGTTGCACATCCCTGTGCTAAAGTATGGATTGACCATATAGAAAATGAACAGAAGAGAATCACAGGCAAGATATACATATGAATGTATGTATGTTCAATGATTTCCAGAAAAATCATAATGGCAGATGAATATCTCTGTAGAAATAAAGGATTCTTCATGGTTTCTAAAGATTCTCTTAGTGACTTTAGCCAAGAAAGAAAGAAGCTATTTGACACATGTTTAAATGCAATTTAATATTTGCATATAATACACACCCACTTCAAATTCTTTTCAACCCTCATAACCTGCAGATTATGCACATGAATATGGGAATAAAACGTATTTTAGATTAAAGACATAAATTGTCATGTTATTATATTTATATTATACATATATCATATATTTCTCAAATATTTAATAAATATGTATATATTTAATAAATATTTACACTAAATTTAAATATTTCTAATTCAAAATAATTACTTGTGCCATCAGTGCAGCTAATTCAAGTGCTAATTCCCTAGTAAGTGGAAATTTTCCTTGCATCACTTCATCATTAATTTGATATGCTGTTAATAATCTTTCTTTATCAGTTTCAGCTTTCAATAACTGACGGAAACACAATCTAGATTAAAAAATATTAATAATTTAACAAATTATCTTAAATAGAAATGATTTTATGAAAAATTTGTATTTTAATTATAAAATTTATAACTAGAATTTAAAAAATGATATAATTATAATTTTAATAATATGTGAATAAATAGAACACCAAACACTAAGTCCAAATTATACTAGTAATCAAATAATTTAATTAATCAAGTTCAAGCCTGATAGTTAAATCATCTCTATCATTGATTATTAGAAAATATAATACATTATTATATATTTATAATGATAACATAATATTAAAAAATACCATAATTAATTTTCTTTTAAATTGTAATTAGTAAACAATAAGCTAATCAGAGTTATTTAAAACATTACAAAAATTATAAATTTAGCAAAGTAATAGACTAATGACAAAGAAGAAATTTTGTTTTTATTTTTTTCATAAAGTGAAAGTTATGTATAAATTCCTCTTCAAGAGAATTGTTATACAGTAGACTTGCTTTTAAACTAGTACATCTAGGAAACCTGTCAAAAAATATGTTATATTGATTGATTGTTATATCAAATTTTTAAAAAAAATTTCCACTTTTGATAAGACTAATGTCATACAATTTGGTGTTTATATAAAAAAAAAATATGCTGAAATTTTAAATGATAGTTTTTTAAATCATTTAAAAAAGTAGTTAAAGAACTAAAGGAAAATATGACTATATACATGATTTTACCTGTTGTTCAATCAAAATGTTAATATTGAGAACTGTTTTCACTGATGTATTTACTCTACTTGAAAACTTATTTGAAATAAAATGTAAACACAATCATAATGTTTACATTTGTTGACACTGAATATTTGAAATTGAATGAACTGCTCTGTTTATATATCATATGTTATAGAATCAATCTAAAAGCCTATCATTGAATACAAATCATAAATAGGACATTTTTACTGTTTTTGAATTTATATTTAATATTAAAGCATACATGAACATTAAAATTAATTATGATGAATATTCTAAATACAATAAATATGAGATGAAAAAGAATATCAACACTAAATAATAAGTTTATAGTACAATTTACAATAAATATGAAATATATAATAATTCAGTAAAACTTTAAATTGATTTACCTGTTTTTATACATAAGTTTAATAATTCTTGTGTTTTCAAATTTTCCTAAGTGCTTTTCTCTTAATGCTTGTTCCCATTTTGATATAACATCACAGAGCTATAAAGAAATGTTAATTAAATACCATAAATATTTAAGAACTAATTGTAATGTAAAAAGTAATATTTTATTCAATTAATTTAAAATCATATAATGTAAAATATAATTGAATGAAAATAGTTTAAACTTATTTGAAATTATTTTCCTTCAATTCTATTTTACACAAATGAATAATAAAACTTTTTATTCAAAATTTTACTGTAATAAGGTAATTTTTATGTTATTTTAATAATTACAGAAAGTTTATCTGTTTTCTTAATTATTTTAAATTTATAAATATAAAACTGTAAATTATACTACATGGTAACTAAATACAGAATCTAACTGATATATAATACAATGCATTTCAATTAATTTTATAAAAGTGATTGGCAAAAGAAAAAATTTGGATAAATATCAGAAAAAACTTTATGTATACAGGTTCGTCTGATATATACGTACATTATATTGTATATTATAAGTAAATATAATATATAATGGTTAAGCAATGTAGAAATCAAACAATAATAAAAAAATTTTAATCTATCTATGGTTAGTTTTAATATTAAGTGTAAACATTCAATGCTAAAACTAATGTACAGTATTTCTTTTGGAACAGATTCTAATAGAAAATTTAGTTTTCATATTTTGAAATAAATATATTAATGTAATTTCGTATGGATAACTTATATGTGTTTAAAAGGAAATTTGAAAGATGGTACACATTATGCACATTATTTGATGGGACAAGTTATATGCCAATTTTAAACTGTAATTACAAACTTAACAAATAGCTTTTTCTTTGCCTAACATTATTAAGAGCATCTTTAGAAAATATGAAAATCCTTTGCCTTTGTGTACAGTAGATATATTCATCTGCAATCATGATTTTTCTGCCTGAGTTTCCAGATTCCTCACTTGTAGACACTTCCTGTTAATTTTTTGAACATCCATCCACATTTTAATTATTATTATTATTATTAAACACTCCTATTTGAAAGCAGATATATTTCTGGTTAATTCCCCTCTGTATACGTGTATAATTTCATTATTTCAAAGAACTATGAGTTAAATTTATTATATGTTAACTTATTGTTTTTACTTTCCCAGCCATTAAGGAATATAACATGTATGATTTGTATGATTTTTGGTCAAATTTTTTCTCTTTTTTGCATTTCTTGATGTTTTGATACACCAAGAGCACAAAAACATAAAAACATCTCTACAAAATTCTATATGTGCATGGTGTGTAGGTGTCTATTTTACATTATATATCAGGACTGGATGAAGCAAAAATTTTAAAACTTTCAACAGGGCTGCAGAGTTGGTAAAAAAGCACTCGACTCTGACTCCAGCAAAATTAAATACCCACTTTATGGGGGGCAGAGGCACTCATAGGGGGTTACCATACTCTGAACTCTGAAAGGAGGCCTGGGCATTTAACCAAATACTTTAATAGTTAGTATTTTTAATATCTAACTTACATTAATATTTATTTGTATACAAAAATTAATTTTTAACAAATATTTAATAAGAGGAAAAAGGGGAGCAATAAAATTCTATATCTACATATCTTTATTCTACAGCTTTAGCACTCCACTTTCACTTTTTCACTTTCAAGTTAGTCCAACTAAAAAAATGTGTAATCTAGATACTTTAGCCCCTTGTTCAGAAAAGAAAAATATATACTTTGATCAATTAGTCTGGCTCATTCAAAAAATAGAGTACTTACTTAGAGTGGGGATAATAAAGGAATGAATCAAAAATATTCAAATTCAATTGGGTCAAAATAATTTAACTACTAAACACAAATATTAAAAAGAAAACTGCATATTTAATAAATTAAATTGTTGCATTTTGTATTTAAAATAAATGAATTATAACAAAATACAAAAACATTTTAAAAAGTTATTAAATATAAAATAAATTTTCTTTCATTTAAATAAAAAAAACTAAAGTAAATTTAAAATGCCAGAGCCGAAGTCGACACATTTTTGCTGACTCCTCTGGCCAGAATTCCTCCCAACTCCAACTCCAACTCCACAGCCCACTAGGTTATTTCTATATATGGAGTATTGATGCTACTGGTATTAAATTTTGGTAATTGAAGGTCAAAGCTGTGGGGAGATAGAAGGGATCATATATCATGTATGGAGTAAGGTCAGACTTAATGAAAATTTTGTTGGTATGAAAGATTCTCATACAGAATTCTATAGATGGAAAGCCACTTTCAAAATTTGTTTCATGAATAACAAGACCCAAGATAGTATGTTTTGATGACAAAAATGACTCATCATCATATTGAAAGCAGATAAAAGCAGAGCTCTTGTTCTATTAAAAAAAGATACAGATCTCTCATGCATCAACACTTCAGGAATACAGACTGTGAACCTGTTAATGATGATTATTTAGACAAGTTACAAGCTTGGGTAACACATTTTACATACACAATCCCTAGCCAAGAAATTGAAATTGAATAGGGCAGTTGTTGCCTCACCAGACACCCCTAAGTTGTTTGTTCACTAAAATGCATAAACCAACACCTTCCGTTAGGCCCATTGTCAATATCACCTACACAACTATTAGAAAATGTGGTTCACAACCTGGCATTGGAGCATCTGAAAGATTATACATTAACTATCAAAAATTCCACCAATCTGACAGATATCTAAGAGCAAGTAGAATTAACAGATAGAGCACATATTACGATGTTTGATTTTGTTACCTTATACCCTTTGGTAAAGCTGCAACCATGCTTCTGCACTCTTAGGGATCTATTACTATGGAAAGTTGATGTATCTGTTCACCAAAAACAGGTCTTAGAACCTGCACACCTGGTGTGTTATACTTCTGTATTCTAATTTAATAACAGTGCATAAAAATGGGGGGTGCTCATTTGTAGTCCCCTTTCAGGAGACCTATGTGAGTTAGTTGCATATCTGTTGGAAAAAAGTCATACCTGAATTCATACAAAACATTGTTGTATACAAGAGATATGTTGACAACCTGTTTGTTCTTTGGAAAAACTGAATCAGATGTAGCTGCTGAATGATAACTGATTTGGACTAACCCTTAAATTAGATCAGATAAGTAATACCAGCACATACTTCTTAGATATTAACATTCACTTCAGCAAGGACTGCATAGAAACTTGTGTCTACTCTAAACCCAGCTATTTCCATTATTTACAGTTGACCCCCCCTATAATACTGTTGATAATTCCGTTTTATATGAATTCCATGTTGTACGAGTCACTTAGATTTTACAAATATGTGTGCCAGGCTGTGAACGGCTCACGTATTTGTTAAATCTAAGTGACTCATACAACATGGAATTCATATAAAATGGAATTATCAACAGTATTATAGGGGGGGGTCAACTGTATTCTGGCAAACTCTGCCAACCCTTTTTTCATATAAAGTTGATAACTTCCTTGCACTTACAAGACAGGTCTTTACACATCGTACAAATTGGGTAGACACTTTAAAAGAGCTAAAACATCTGGAGGACATAGCTATAAGGCATGGATATAGAAGGAACCAGATATGTATTTTAGCTTGCACCTACTCCAACTGACATGCCTTACACAAAACTCTAAATACCAAGGAGATTCCAACAGCAGTCAAATCTGTAACCCTATCCCCAGGCACACAGTGATAGAATATGACCAGTATTTACATACCTTATACAAAGAAATTGCTGACAATACAGGTACTAGGTTGGCATACAAGCAAGTTCTGGTGGTGTACAAATTACTAGGCAATGGAAAGGACAAGGCCGATAAACATATGGTCCCAAGGGTGTATAGTGTTCCTGTGAGGGACAACAGATTCCAAAGAGATATGGTATACATTGGGTCTACTAAGCACACCATACACAAAAATACCACACTTTTATTCAAAATTATGATATTTTGAATAAAAGGTATACATACCACTGCTCTGTCCATTTTTGCCACTGAGACAGATGTGCAAGCTGATTTCCAGAATGCCATGTTAATTAAACAATCATTTTAAACCAACCACATCAGGGCTCAAGAAGCCTTGGAAATATACAGGGCCGACCTGACTGGCAATTGTATTAATTTTAAAGATAAAAGCATTGCCATGCATATGAGATTCTTCTTTTTTATGAAAAACAGGGAATTACAGACATAAATTAATTACTATTATTGATGAGACTACGTATCGTCTCTAAAAATCACACTGCTGTCAACAGCTGCACAAATACTCTGTGCCAAATTGCAACTCCTGACAGGTACTCCTTCATACCTTAGAGGTATGAAGGAGTACCTGTCAGGAGTTGCAATTTGGCACAGAGTATTTGATGCCCAAATCATGCATACATAAAATAAACCAGACTTGTAGAATAGTCAGAGGACTGAGAACCGGATCAAAAGAAAATACAAAATGCTGAGACTATTTCTACAAACAGGCACGAGTGCAAGATTTGCACATGCATTGCTTGCACTCTCTGAGACATAGTCTCGTCCCAAAAAAATGGCTTTGCTGTTTTACTTGTTTTGTAATATTTTGTGTGTTATTTTTATTTGTTACAATTTTATACTTCTTAAAATTACAACAGATTAGTTATATTTATAATTTTTTTTCTTGTCGTTGTTTTACATTGTTGTGTTTTGTTCTAATTATTTAAAAAATATTTTTGAAAAGTTGTATTCTGCACATTCTAATTAGGAATATTGTTGGTGACCTGATGAAGATCTTGGTTAAGATTGAAAATGTTCACCAATTTGACATTAACATTTTTATTACTGGAGGTTAAAGGTTTAGTTAATTGTACTTAGTGAATTTTGATGATTAAAATAATTATATATATTTTTGGTTCTTTAACAAGCACTTTAAGTTTTCTTTTTATTTAATTGTGGTAGCAAATTTCATTGATTTCNTGGTTAAGCAATGTAGAAATCAAACAATAATAAAAAAATTTTAATCTATCTATGGTTAGTTTTAATATTAAGTGTAAACATTCAATGCTAAAACTAATGTACAGTATTTCTTTTG